CCTGAATATGTAGCAGAAGCTTAAGGCAATAAACAACATTAGAAATCACTGCAGAAATGCATAAAGGTCCAAGCTACTGAGATGCTAGTTTATAGATTTGGGTTGATGTAGCAAGTAGCAAGTTGGCATTGGAGAGTACTACCTGATCACATACTCAAAAGATCTTATGATGTCAATAATTATTTGCATACTACTTCTGTCAATCCTATGTAGTAAAGAGGTGGTGCCTTGCTTCTTGTAAGGCTATTATAAGCCGTTGTATAAATTCCTCCATTGTCGGGTTGTTGGTGTTGATGGAACGATAGAGAGTTATTGACATAATTTGATGTTGACCAATATTAAGAAAAAATGGTGAATGACCAATACTTTCTTGAATACTATCATTGTAAGGAAACTCTAAGGGCACCAATTATTCATTCCAATCATTATGATGAACCACCACAAATGTCCACAACATATCTTCTAAAGTCTAATTTGCATGCTTTGTTTATCGATCTATTTGGAGATAGAAGGCTATAGTCATGAAAAATTTTATATCTAGTAGCTTGAACAAGACATGCCAAAAACTTCCAATGAAGCATGAATTTTAATTTAAAATGATGACATAAAATAATCCATAGTGACAAAAGATGATATCAAAGAAGACTCATACAAGTATTGGAGCATGAATATTCGAGCATACTACGATCAAGTGAAGTTGCTTCGAGACTCAATCTATAAAGATGGCAATTATGGTATGATTATAAGGCGTCTGCAGCAAACACGTAATGAGATCTATAGTCATTTGCTCCCAACATGCCATACGTAGTAGAATTGGTTGCTATAGTTTAATAGACGCTACATTGCATGCTTTATTACATTGACATGATTTGCAAGAACATACAAAGGTTCCAACACAATCCAAACTTCTCCAAAATCATGTCTTTGAGATCTATTCTAGAGTCTTCTCTCATCTTAGATGTCGAGATATTAGAATGTTATATCCTTCTTGAAGTATGCACATCTGGAATTTAGCATTGTCAGGTATATAAATTTACTTCTTGAAATAGAGCAAGCCATCACTAAGAATGCAATTATAATATTGTATATTATCCACCTTCAACTGATCCCTAACCATCTTAAAATAAACACCTCAATGAGTAGCTTCCTTCCATTTTGTCTCTTTGGTTAGATTTAAAATGATACTTTTAATGATAGTGACTTTTGCTTGCTCTCGCAATTCGCCATTCAAGTTTGGTCTCTACAATAAGTTGTCTCATACAATATGTACTCAAACAAGATATAAAAAAACTACAACTATTCTTTCTAACGATCATGCCACGATTTCATATTTTCTAGGTACAAATTATATAACAAGAGTTGATGGTCAGTCCGAACAACCACTAGCTTCTCCAATAGATAGTATCATTATACCTTTATGATATGTACAATCGCTAATTATTCTCGATCATGTGCAAAGTAATTGCGCTTTGCCCTTCTTAGCTTCTGTGATTCATATGCCACAAGTTGAAGGCCCCTACTAAAATCTTGTTAAAAGACAGCTCCAATAGCAAAGTAAGAAGCATCAATGTCAAGCATACAAAGAAGATTAGGATCATATGGTTGTAATATTAGAGCAGTAATGAGAGACTCCTTCAACTTATCAAATGCATTATGCTGCTCCAATTACCATTCAAATATAGTACCCTTCTATAATAGATTTCTCAATGAGGTAGCAATGTCAGCAAATCACCAAATAAAATGATGATAGTATCCAGCAAGGCCTAAAAATGTGCAAACTTCAGAAGCATCTTTGAAGGTTGGCCAATCTTCCAGTGCTTTTACCTTATCTAGCTCTATAGACATACCTTTGGAGGACACTACATGCTTCCAAAAGGTGACTTTTGACTTCCAAAGTTCACATTTTGATTGCTTACAATAGAAGCAACTATCTTATAGCCAGTATAGCACTTCTCGTAAGTATTCATCATGCTCTTTAGCGATTTTACTCTATATGAAGATATCATCAATGAGGACGACTACATACTTGTTCAAAAGGTCTTGAAACAATCTATTTATCTGATCCATGAAAGAGGCTGGAGCATTAATGATGCCAAAAGGTAAAACCAACCATTCAAAATATCCATAACATGTATGAAATGCTGTCTTTTTCACATCTTCTCTTGCAATAGGTATTTTCCTATAGCTACTCTAAAGATCCAATTTACTAAAGATGGTTGTACCTTGAAGTTGATTAAGAAGATCATGCACATGTGGAAGTGGATATGTATTTTTAATAATCTGCTTATTGAGGCTTTGATAGTTAATGCAAAAGTAAAGTCTACCATCTTTCTTGGATGCAAAGAGTACAAGTACTTTCTATGGTCATGTGCTTTCTCGAATGATGCCTTTCTCTAAGAATTTATCCAATGTATTCAAGAATTCTTCAAGTTCTTTTGGTGTTAGGCGATAAATTGGCCAACTTATTGATTTGGCTCTAGGCAATAGTTCTATTTGAAAGAGGGCACTTCAATTAGGAGGCACATTATTAGGTAGATTGGTTCGAAAGACATCCTAATATTTTTTTTATGAGTTGCTCTACTTGTTTTATTCCTTCAACAATCTTTTCCACTATTGACGCAAGATTTGGAATCACTATATATATATCGATTACTCATACTGTATTTGCTTCTTCCTAAAGGTCGTTTTTACGAATAAATCTTTGGTTGTAGATTGTCTATCTTCTTCACTTGATGTAGAGCTGCAAAAAATCACCTTATGTCATCCATCCTTAAAAAACATTGTTCTTGCTACCCAATTAACTTACTTATTTTCCATCTCTAGCCATAACATAGCAAGAATAACATCATACTTTAGCTTTGTCACCTTGAATCTTTCTCTTGAAACATAGGCGTCTATCAATCTCAAAGTTTCTTTTTCATATGTTTCACTCAATACATTCTCTCAGTCATCTGTAAAGTATATAATTCCTCCTTTGATTGCCTTAGTTTTAATTCCAAGTCAATCAACAATTTCAATTGAGATACAATTTTCTGTAGAGCCACAATTTACAAGTACTCGACATGGTTGTCCTCTTAGCAGTCCCATTAGATGTACCACTCGATTCTTTTCATAGTTATTCAAGGCCATGCCATTTGTTTATAAGAAACAATAGCTATCTCTAATATTGGCCCTCGCTGCCTTTATTAGAAAGCTTCGTTTTCATACTATAATTCACTATCAACTTGGTGAGTTTTGAGACAATGAATCTACCTTATCTCGGTGGTGCTTGAATTTTGAAGTTTTGGACAACTTCTAAACTAATGGCCTCACTCTAGACAATAGAAATACAATTCCTTTGGCACCAATATTTGTTGTCTTTGTAGTATCAATGATCTTTATAGGGCATCAATCTCCATCAACTTTGGTTGTTGTGCCATAGTATTAGATAGCAGCATAAGACTTTGTATTATAGATCGTGCTCCATAAATTCTGAAATCTATAGCATCGATCCTCTCTACAATCCAAATTGCCTCTTTGAATGTTTATGAATTCCTTAACTCCACCTCTCATTAGATCCCAAGTTTCAAACCTTATAGGGATTGATCCATCATCTCCACCTCCAAAATATTCTCAATTTGGAAACATAGGGACTTGAATTAAGAGATATAATTTTGCATCGACCTAACTTGTGTAAGATTTGCCAACTGATCGTGTGCTATCTTCTGTGCATTGATGGACCAAAATTGATTCTTATACTCGATCTTAAATCCCTTCCAATCACAAAATCCACCTTGAGCTCTATAGCTTTGAACTCGATGTTACAACCAAATAGTTGCCACATGTTTCAAATAGCTGGCTACATATATAATTTCTTTAGTGGTATTTGCCCCAGATAGTTGGAGGCATTGTCGCATGTTGAAGAGCCATTGATATACATCTTCTTATCTAAAAGTCTTAAAGTATGTATTAGACTTATTCAATTTCAACCTAGAAAATGTCAATTCTCTTGCCCTTGCAAAGTAGCTATTTGGCTTAAGAGGTATTATATTTGAGCCTCCATTTGGGATTGCTCCGCTATATCTCCTATACTGTAATTTCTCTGCTAGATTCTACTATTATAATGTCTTTTCACCTCTCGGTTGACTTTTTAAGAGTAGCTCATGGTAGCTTCAACTTAGTATTCAATGTGACTACAACAATTGACCTTGGACTAAATAGTGATTATTGACATGCTACCAAAAATAAATAGTCTAACACTCATTCTGATACTAATGAAACATGACCAAACTATCTCAAAAACCTAAGATCTTTTTAATCTACAACAACATAAAGCCTCATCACAAAATAGGACAAAACACACCGAGACAAAATTAAATGGAACTAAACAGAATTGGACATGAAAGTCAAAATTGATCAAACAAAAAGAAAACATAATAGAATTGAATAAAAAGATGCAAAATCAAATTTTACCAAGAGAAAGGGTTTGAAGCCATATCTAACCAAATGCCTTAAAAGGCCATTGCCAATCCTATTTATACCTTATCCTACTACCTTGGACTCTTTAAAATGTTCCTAGGTCGTAGGCTCTACCTAAATAACTGCCTTAAACTCTTTTTCTAAAAGGTTTTACGGTAGGCCCTGCCTAGATAACTGCTCTAAACTCTTTCTAGAATATTCTAGACTAAGTCCTACCTGGTCCATTAACCTAATCTCAATTCTAAAAACTTCTATGGTTCTAACTATCTTTACAATTATCTTACCTATACCTTATTACAATTATAAAGATTTTGAATCTTATTTTGAATCAATTTTGAAGGCCCTAAAAATTTTTTATATTAATTGAACATTTTTTTAACACTACAATGAAGTCAAAAATGCAAAAAAATGGTTTTATTAATAAAAATAAGAAGATCAATAACTAATGTAGTAGTTGTAAGAAAGAAGGTGCTTCTATCTTAATGATGACAATAATTAATAAGATAGCCTAAATTTTTATTTAAATGAATAATAAAACCATATTCCATCATCTTTGACATCTTTCATTCCAACTATGAGAAAATGCTTCTCATTCCCTCAAATACATTCATAATAATCAAAGTTTGGATATGTTTCCACGATGTTGTGAGCGGAAGAGCAACCATCCTGAAGCTACAAAATCCCTCATATATTGATACATGATCATTAAGGGACTCCATCTGCACCCTTTCCATTCATGCCCACTTCAAGGCTGACACACAAACTAACTAAATGGAGCATTACATAGTATGGCTAGCTTAAGCTAGGTCCAGCCTACTGGAGCATTATCGACTACAGATTCCAGACTTGCTATGGTTGATTCAGCTCTAGAACTGACACGAACACATAAGAAGCTTGCTGCTTCAGCTTCAGTCAGCCCTATTTGAAAAGGACATCATGCAGACCCTTCAAGAGCAGAAGTAACTAACCGAGACTCAATCTCAAAGCATTTGTTTTGTTTGTAGACTCATGCTCGGTTGCAATGTATACCCATCCTTAGTCAGCTCTTCATAAAAGCTCAAGCGTTAGTGCTTCCGGAATCATGGTAGGACGCTGTAAGTAGAGAATGTGATGCAACTTCCTCATGTAGGAGGATGGGAACTTAAAGTAATCCCAGTGACTTCAATTGTTGGACATGCTCTTGAGGAAGGGGTGGTGGAACCCAATCAGGTCCCAGAACTTCACCATCGAGATCTTCCACTACATACTCCTGCATCTCCACACTTCACAAGATCAGATCCATGATTTCAGTTTGGTGTAAGCAAGAAAGCGATACGGCCCTCCCGATATCGTGTTGTAACAGAAAACATCCGAAATAAAAGCTAGTAGCAACCCTCAGCTTAACAAGTATTTCGAAGAAGACGGCCTCACTACCGCAAAGATGACTTTCATTTTACCTTGGTTAACATCCGCTTTGCCAGGATATGGTAGTGTCGTTGCCATATCCTTTGACCAACCATAGTTGCCACAAGGACGCTGTAGAAAAGCCCAACTACTGCAAATACCACCAAAGCCACGAGTGCCACAATCATAAGCACAGGAGCTGCTTCTCCAGCACCTCCAAGGCAGGCAGTGCATTCTCCAAGCGAGCCCGCACATCCTTCACAACACATAGCACAATCCGTCCACATGCACAGGGTCCCCGGTACACGACAATCCCCGCATACTCTGGAAATTCACACAGAATTCGCACATAAATAGCATTCATAAGTCACATTTCAACCCAAAACTACTCCATGTGTGTACACTTCTTAGATGTTGTAATCAAGGCACCAAAAAACAATGAAAGCAAGGAAGAGAGGGTGATGGATGATACCCCTCACAACAGCAAAGGCAAACTTCTCGACAGGGATGAGCCAACTCGCTACGTAAGCGTCGGTCATAGCAAGTCATGAAACATCCAGATAAGCCCAAAACCACAAGGAAAACGATAACACCTAAAACCAATCACCGCCAACGTTAGTTACATCCTATGCTTTCAGTGGTCTGCAATATCTCAATTTTAAAAATGACAGAGAGATGACCAAGTTGCAACTAATTTCAGAAATAGAGTTTCTATGATGAAGCAACACAGCAAGGAACATACCACAGAGGTAGTAGAATGGATAGTCGTTTACGAATCCCCAAATGTGTTCAAGCCTGCTTCCTGTACGATGATCTACTATGTACACAAGATACCCAAACAAAGAGATAACCTGCACAATAACGTTCATGCTTGAATCAAAAGAGCATGAAGGACAAACAAATCACCGCTAGAAGATATATATATATATATAACAAAACAAAAACAACAACAAAAGTAGCAAAAGCTAAATGGGTGTAAAGATGTAAAGGTGTTACCACAACTGGACTTCGACAAGGCGAGTAGTTGTAAAACGTAAAACATACGTAAATAAATGTAACAATCTTGAAAATTTGAGAGAAAACGAGTTGAAACCAACTTAGAATACTATTACGCATAAAAGGAAAGAGTGCGAACTGAGATATTGTACCAGTTGAACCGCTAAAAAGATGGACAATATGTCCCGAGTAACGAAGAAGCGGAACTTGAGTGTCCTCCACTCTCTGTCAGCTGGGATGTGGACTCTGATTTGATATGGAGTCTTGCAAGTTGTGCAATGGCAAAATGCAAAACCTTCCTACAATTTCAAATACAACATCAGATCGACAAGCATCAAATATCAGAACAAGAGCGTAAGTACCATACGACATTTCAGTTCCATGAAAAAGGTCTTCATCTGGCCATCTCAAAGTCAACATGAAGTCAACATGATGATCACTTCATTTTCAACCGTTCGAGAGTACATGCGTAATCCTTGCATGAGAAGGTGTGTATAAGTCCCATAGCGAAACCCACGAGGTATCTACGTAGGCTTGCATCAATCCCAATTACATGCGAGTAATTTGATATTACGGCAAGAGGTTTCCAATCACATCGGCAAACCGACTAAATTCGTTGCCACCACGAAATGCCCCTGCTGATTAATTATATGATAACCAGTTGAAACGCGAATGATTACTTACTCAACACAACATGTGTACTAATAAATTGTACACTATGTAAAATGATACAACATAGAAAATAAAAAGTACCTTAATTGAGCGCCAATTGTCGAGGCATTCGCGGTGAACATACTTCTGAGAACCTTTGCATTTACATGGAGCAATAAAGTCTCTACCTGAAACCACAATCTAGTCAGGATCAAGTATTCACACTAGATACTTGGAAGTTGCAGACAGTAGTGACCAACCTTTTAACATACACAGCACTCGACGATACCAACACATATCATAGGTTTCTTGTGTGATTGAAATGATGATGGTTCTCTAGGTGTTAGAAAAACAACGAACTTATACAAGAACTTCGATTCTTCCCAAAAACTCCAAGAGTCCTTCAGAATTCAGCTGCTGTGAAAATTTAAAAGGGACAGAGAGGTGAATTACCGTCAGATTCGAGGCAGATCCGACATTGAGGTTGCTCTTCGGTACCCGCCTCAAGGTCGACATCATCTCTGTCCATGATCAGAGGATGACGCTCCATCGTGTCTATGCACGCCGCTGATTCCGATGCACTCGGTGTCTCCATCGCACCCTTCTCCATTTCCTCAACTGCTACGCTCCTCTATTAAAAAAAAGTATATAAGGTGCACAAAATGGCGGATTCTATCTTCAAGAATTCGCTGTTTGCTTAACTGCATGGGGGAGAATTTGGCTTCCAAAATAGCACCTCCGCACTCGCAACCTTTGTATTACGTTCAAAATACCCTCCGAAAATTTACAACACTTGATTATCCACCGCAAAACGCACGCGCATTAGGGTTTGAAGCTCTTGACGAAGTACGCTTCACGTGTCGAGTATTACTCATAACCTATTGCTTTTTTCTGCTCTACACCACATTCAGTCCTCACCTCCACCGCACGAAAACCAAAACGCGAGCAAATCCGTCTTGCTTTTCTATACCGACGATAATGATCGATACGCTGCCTCGCCCTTCCCTCTTGGTCAATCCTTGAACGACAAACGCAGCAGGTGACATCCAATCTGAATTCTACATGAATGTGAGCAGATTCAGAGCCAATCTGCGCAGACTAGATATAGAAAAGGCTCGTAAGAAATCATGCGATTCGTGCACAGCTCGCGAATCCAAAACCACCTTCCTTCCCCGCTGCTCGCAAGCAACTCTGCGACGTCGTTCAATCAACAGGACTCGTGAACAACAGCTTTGTCCAGGAAATTGCCTCGAAGCTGGCGGAGACGGGGTGTAATTGTTCCCATGCCGTCACCCACCCCGTTCCCGTATCGCGAACACCACGAAATAGTGCCCGTTCCCAATTGTCGATTGTCATTTCTGATGTCTAGAAGTTAGCGATTATGTGTTCCATAAGAATTTGTGTGCTTTGTCAAATATGAATTTTAGGATAGTTTGAAATATGACCCATTATGTGGAGCTTGTGGGTAAAGTTAACTCATATCCAGTGGAGTTCGTTGTTTTGAGTACTTTTTTAAGAATTCAAACTACCATGCAAACTACTATTTTTAGAGAATGTAATACTGGGTTCTCATCAGTTTCTTTATTTTTCATCCGATGTCCGGTCCCACAGAGCTTGTTTATCTGTTCGTCGGGCAGTCTGTCCGTCCGTTCGTGTGGCTGAATCAATCAGCCTTCGTTGCACTGAATACTTTCTAACCTCAGCTTTCTGTCCATTCTAATTTAGGTGATACTCATCCTACTCTCTAAAATTTATCTTTTCAAGTATCTATCCGTGCATTTAAAAAAAAATTATGTAAATATATATATATATATATATATAAACCGAGATATATAAATCTGTAAGGGAGTTAGTGTGTATGTATTGATAGATATGCATGCTACATCTCTATAAAAACTACATAAGCTCATTAAAATATATAAGTTTGTTTGTACATGGTCTCATTCATATATATATATATATATATATACATATACATTTATATATTTATTTATTTGTATATTCATATTAAAAATATCAATGTATAAATTAATCTTTAAACTTTGTAAAAACATTTAGAAATATATTTCCAAATAATGCTAATATATCTTTTGATGATGATAATAAAAAGGACATGAACTTCAAAGAACTAAAATGTCAATACACTCTTATGTCACTCAAAATGACTAGAAAATTATTCAAAGATGATATAGTATTAAACTAAAATAGCTATTGTTAAAGACAAAAAGACTAAAAAGTCTTGAAATAAGACTGAGAACTAAAAAGGTGTTGACAAGATTGAAGAAGGCTTCACTCTTGCCTTCATATATACTCTTAACTAGGAGCTACGTGGCGATGTCCTATAGGATTTCTAAAACATGTTGACTTTGCAAGACACATATCTTAACTTGCAAGGCAAGTTTTCTACATGTGTGTCATATAATTAGCTTGTTATACAAACTATCAACACAAAGTTAATTTGTTGACTAAATTTTTAAGCCACTCATAAACTACAAATACATATAAAGTCAAAGTAATGTCTATAAAGCTTTTAAGAAGTTTTTCTAGAAAATATTATAAAATAAATATATTTTTACTTACTTCTACTTAATCATATAGATAAATATTAGATAAAATATGTATGTCCATGACATTATTCTTCCTTCTAGATTCAAGTTCTATGAGGAGCAATCATCATATGTTGAAGAAATCTAAGATGCAACAAATTGTATTTACCACATATTTTGATCTTTATTCTCTTTAAAAATGGTTATTAGGTCTTCTTAGCTATTGATAGTGTCTCATATTAAGGAGAGAAGACCATCTTATTATTTGATCATTGTTGCGGCCTTTGTAACTTCCTTTAAATAAAATATTTGAAACATTGTTAATAATCATTCTTACTTCTAATAAAATCACCAAACATTGAGAGTCTCTTCTAAGATCATAATATCAAACTCATTGTATCTTGTCATCTATTTGAAGAAAGACATGTCATTTTTAAGGATCTTTATCTCAATTATATCATCTTAAAGGTTGTAACGATTGTAATGTCTCATTTGATAAGTCAATAAGTGATAGCTCTTGAGTTGAATCTATTAGTTGTTGGTTCTCGATTTCCTTAGCATTATAAATACAAAAGTTAAGAATAAGACTAGAATGTAGAATGCTATCTTCTTTAAATCTTGTTTCTTTTATGGCAAAGATTTATTATTCTTTATCTTGATTGTGATGGATGTTGTTGATAAAAAGCTTCAACTTTCTTTGTTACATTTGCAAGATTCTTTGTTAGCTTCTATGTGCATTTACTAATATCATATCCATACCAATGAACAAGATATTTTAATTTATTTTGGTATTGCCTTGAATCTAAGAATTCTTTTAGTTCAAATTCTTCATTATTATCTACATTTATAGGAAGATGTGGTATTTGTCTTCTTACTAATATATTCACCATCTTATATGATTTAAAAAGAGAAATATAGAATATGGAATGGATCTTTATAGAGTGTGGTAGATGTAATCAATAAGCAACAAGATTGAGTTGTTTATCAATAAGAAAAGGTCTAAGCCTACAATAGTTCAACTTGTCACAAGGACAAGTAGTCTTGATATTGCAATAAAGTAGCCATATCTTATCACCTATGATGAATTGTTATTATTCCTTGCAATAAGCATCTGCATTGTTGTTTTATTATTCTTGAGCTTCCTTTAATTATGCCTTCATTTTTGCATGTTGTGAGCTAAAAAGCCTCCCTATCCACTTTAAGAGGAAAAATAACTATATAATAAGTTCAAAAGATAGTAGAGACTAATTGTGTGATTACTTTAATCATTAATTAGTTAATTAAATAATTATAGTTCAAATACTTTGAATAATACCTTCCAAGCAATAATTACCATTTGATATAACTTAAAATAAGTGATAAAAAGAAAAAAAAATAACAAGATACAAATAACAAAATAGAAGTAGCTGGATGAAAAAAAGAAAGAACAAATAGCTAGATGGAATAATTTAGTTGGATGAAAATAATATAGTCAGATGAAAATAGTACTATTAAATAGAAATAGTATTATTGGATGAAATAGCACTATTGGATGAAAACAACACTACTAGACAAAAACAACACAATCAAATAAAAATAATATTATTAAACGAAGAATAGCATTGTTGGACAGAAATAGTGCCATTAGATAAAATAATACTATTAGATAAAAATATCATTTTTGAATGAAAATAATACTATTAGATGGAAATAGCATCGTTGGATGAAAATATCACAGAGCAATAACAAACCTCCAGGGCAGAGTAGCCACACCAAAAAAACCTTTGAATTTCAAACCATTATAATTTTTTTATTTCAATTCCAAATTTCATGATTCTTTCATCCAACCTTACTGATTTTTTTTTTCTCTGTACAATGAACATGTCTATCCAAAAAACAAATTCCATTAATGGTGAGCTCCAAGAGAACTAGCAAGGATATAAAATAAATAACTTATAATATAAGTTTATAACAATGAAAATACTAAAACTCTTTGGTGCTTCAATGGAATACTCTTACTAAGGGCTCAAAACAAAGGTGAAAGAAAGAGAGATGAAAAATAAGGCTTTGAGAGGGCCTTATATATCCAAGCCTTCAAGCCTTTTATTGGTAATTACTTTGCTGATAACTTGTAAATAATAACTAATTTGAGATCCTTGTCATTAACTAATCCATGTAAGTGATATAACTTACATGTCACTTCTACCAACTCATATTTTTAGTACTATTAATCATTATAAGGTCAACCTACACCTCCCATAATGTCCAATCAATATCATTTGCAGAAAAAACTAATAGTTGGCATCTATTTACTACAAGGTCATGATAAATCACTATAGATTTTAATCAATGAATGGATTTTAGTTTCTAATAACTTAATTAACCAAAAACTTATGTAAAAAAGCTTACTAATTTTTGAGAGGGATTTGCTAGGAGCCGACTTGATTTATTGTTGTAGAAATAATAGTTGAAAGATAGAATAGTTGTCCATCTTCTTCCTTCACCATCATTTATGGCTTCAAGAGCAAAGTAACTTTCTATCTTCTTCCTTCACCATCTCTTGTGGCTTCAAGAATAGAGTAATTCTTCATCTTCTCCCTTCACCATCTCTTATGGCTTCAAAAGTGGAATAACTTTCTATTTATTTTTCACCATACTCCTACTACAATTAAGTCTATCTTTTTTAATAACCTCTATTTTTTCATAATTAATAGTAATCAACATTATAGCATATCAAAATACCAAAAATTACCTAAATAAATTTTTTGTGTATAATTTATGCCTCACACATGGTACATCATCTGTGAACTATTTGTCTAAATAGGATGGATCTAAAGTTCACTTGCAATGGTAAGTATGTCTTATCCTTAGGCATATAATCATTACTTCAATTTCTTCACTTCAAATTAAATGATGCTTGGTATAAGTTTCACACTCCATATTACTTAAATCTTCCATCTAGAGGCTTTTCTTTAAAAGATATCACTTCTTATATAAAATATAAGAATAAGAAAATAATGTAAATCTAAACAATAATTCAAAACAATAAAAACACTATAAAAATTTAAAAGCAATCTCACAATTATTACCTCTAAATAAATGCATCAATTATGTAAAGATAAATTTTTTCTTCTATCCAACTTACAAGATGACTTTAATTACGAATTTCTTCTAATTGATGGTATAAAATAGAAGTAGAAAGAATGAAAAAAAAAGAAGAACAATGCAAAATAAGTGAATAAATATAATCGAGTAATTATATACTATAAAACTAATCAAATTTTATTTATTAAATTTTTATCTAGTCAAAAAAAGAAAAAAGAAAAAATAAAATATTACATAGATAATTCTTTTATCTTTCAAATAATATAAAAAATATATAAATTAAATTTATTATTAGTAATTTATGGTAGATTAAAGATAAAATATAAATAATAAATAAGTTAAGTTATTAATTTTTATTTCAAGAATAATTTATTTTAAGAGGGATGAAAGCAAGATATGGATGGATGGAGGCAAAAGGTAAAGATCTTCATCCTTATTGGTCAAAAGCCATGCTCAATAGGCATTCAATAGGTGATTATAACAAGGATTTTAGCAACTTCAAAACGAGCATTTGAGAATAAAAAGTAAGGATTATAAGATTTAGAATTTGGACTACAATTTGTACCTCAATTTTAGACGATTTGGAGTTAA